GGGGCAGGCAGAGAAGCCGAAAACATTCCTGTTTCCCATAAGATATTCATGCCAACCTTCCCACTGAAAACAACGAAAAGTCAAACAAAATAAAAACAGGTTTAAATCTTCTCAAAAGTATCCAAGAATAATAAGGCATAAGCGAGATCAGGTCACCGTCTTGGAAAATGGGAACCTTTGCTTTGTAGCCTCCCTGGGAGAGGAGGACGGAAATCAAAAGCCGGGGGAGGTGTCAAAGCAAAGAGGTCCTCTCGGCCTTCCCCTTCCCAGCCATCACAACCTCTTGGACCAAAGGAAACGGCTCAAAACCTAAACTCCAAATCAGCTGCAAGCACACAGGGATGTAAAATGCAGAATAGGGAATCCTATATAATAAAAGCCTGTGACTGAACGGTGGAATGACCAGAACAACCGGTCAACCAGTCGCTATGATGTGCGCTGACCACCAGGGGGCAGACGCTCAATGCAGGAGCTGCCCCCTGATGGTCAGGGTGCTACCACAGTGGGAGGGCCGCTTGGCTGACAGGGATGACAGGCAGGAACCTGGGCTGCAATCATGGCCTCCTCGCCCCAGGCTCCTCCTCCTCGCTCCCTGCCGCCTCCTCCAGACACCCGCAGGCCACACAGCACCGCTGTCGCCAGGTTCGCAGAGCTGACCCCAGAGTCTGGGAGGCGGGTTCATGGCCGCTGCAGGACTGAGGCCTACTCTGCCATCTCTCAGTGCTATTGTCCCTGGGCCCCGCCCTGACCAGGTCCCTGGAGAGGCAATTGCTCCGGCTCCACGGGAGATGCCAGACCAGGGAGCAGCCGCTCAGAGGGCGGGTCCGCAGCCACTTGGCTGACCGGAATGAGCAGCCGGGCAATCCCTGCAGGCCACGCCCCCCCCACCGGTGTACAAATCCTGTGCACTGGGCCTCTAGTATAGTCAACAATATTGTAATGACTGTGTATGTGTCAGGCGGGTACTAGACTTATGGGGAGGGGGCTGAATCCCTTTGTAAATTACATAAATGTCTCACCACTATGCTGTACACCTGAAATGAATATAATATTGTATGTCAACTATAATTGGATTTTTAAAAATTTTTTAATAAAGTTTATATTCTTTGATCTATACATTACTCTTCACTTTATCTGAAAAAAGAAACTTTGCTTTTAAAATCAATCAATCAATCAATCAATCATCCTCAAACTTTTTCCCTTCCCTCACTAACATTTTGGCTTTTATAAATGAACTAGAGGCCCAGCGCACACAAAATCGTGTGCAAGTAGCTCGCTCCCACTTGCCTCAGCTCGCCGCCCCACCCACCAAGAGAGTCGCTGCTCGTTTGGTCATGACAGCCATGGGCCTTTTATATAAGAGATTACAGAGGGAATTTTCCAACGGCTAGAAGGATATCCTTGAACTTGTTATGGAAACTTTCTAACACATGGCAACAATAGAGAGGACAGTGTGTAATGGGCCGCAGTTTCCTCTCATTCGAATTCAAGTTGTCCCGACTTCGTCAGTGGGGTCCAATTCCCCCCAACCATTTTCAAGCAAATCCTTTATAGTATTTCCTCCAGTATGTATCTCTGAAAAGGTAAAGATTCTTTCATTAAGATAAGCACAGTAACCTAATTATAAACAAAAATAATAATAATAATTCTGTATTATCAAATGTCCAGTAAGTGTTACAGTTCTCCATAACATCTACCTTTTGAAGATCTACTCACAGGAGGTGGTGGTGGGTTTTCCAACTCTTGCTACATGACTTCTCTCTCGTCCTGTGGGTGGCTCAGCCAGCATCACCCAATTTCCAGCTTCCTCCCTTCTAGAATGTTTTAGGTTTTTATGAGCAAACTTTTATTACTGGCATCTTTGGAATGTTACTCTGTGTTTCTTTTTATTTCCTCTTGAAACCCAGAAAAAAAAACATTGAATTTTTTTGCCTCTAATTTTCTCTTGTCCCCTATAACTGCCATCAACCTTCATTCTATCCCTAAAGGGACAATTTACTTTTACACATCTGCTTTTTTGACTCACTTCCATAGGGCACTCCAAAAAACCTCGTTGTTCTATTTATTCATTCAACAAATATTTACTGGCAATTTACAGGGTCCCTGATGGTACCTTCTAATATAAAGGTGACAGGCAGGCCTCAGGGCACCAGAGAAACAGCCCTCTTTACAAATTCACTCGACATCAGTTCTCCAAGTGTGCACTAGAGGGCGCCACTCTCCCATTGGCATTTGTTACAGAAAGTCTGGAGTGATTTCAATATGCAGCCTATTTAGGTTCTTTCTTTTAATTGGATAAATTTGTCATACAACATTGTATAAATTTAAGGTGTACAACATGTCACTTTGAGACATTTATTTCCAGTAATATGATTGTCCAGATTCGCTAGCAACATCAGCTGGGCTGGGAAAATGGACAGTGACCAGTCACACCAACAACAGGTGGACACAGTTCCCGCTTCTCCTATAAACAGGCTCTCTGGAGCTGTGTGCTTTAAACCCAGCCTCGGGGACACTGCCTGTCCCCGAGTTTCCCATGCCAAGGGAAAGACCAGCTCAGCCCCTCACCCAGGAGGGAACTCGGGTCCTTCCCACATCTCAGCTCGCTGGCCCTAGCTGCTCCGCTTAACCTCAGCCCTTTAAAAATGGTTACTACTCATCACAACAGCTAACATGCTGGTCTGAAGCATCTGCATTTGAAACATCCTGATCCCCTAGTTGGAGACTATTAAGAATGCTGCTGGGTGTTGGGTTTATCAGCAAGGGTGCAATGACCTTTCAGAAACAAGGAAGGTCTGCTCCAAGGTGACTCTGCCGCTGCGGCTAGAAACTGCAGTGCTCCAGCCTCAAGGGGGAAATATCCCGCTCCAGGGCCCAGAGCCTCTGCTCCAGAATAGGGGTGCTCGCAGCTGTCCGAGGGAGCAAGGCTGGTGACAGGACCAGCGTGGGGAGCGGGGGGGGGGTGCCATCCAGGGGGACCCAGCTGCACCAGGCCTGGCTGACATTTCACGAGGCCTTGGACATGGCCCATCACTGGCCTACATGGTCTCTGCTTGTCACCACCCAAGAGAGACCAGCTAATTGATGTGTCTCTCACATCCATGCTTCTCTCTCTCTCTCTCTCTCTCTCTCTCTCTCTCTCTCTCTCTCTCCCCTCCCCACCCTCCACTTCTACTCTCTCTGAAAAGCAATGGAAAAAATATCCTGTCAGGATAACAAAAATAATAATAATGATAAATTCTGTGACTAAAGACCTCTCTATCCCCAAGGGTTTCCCTAAATATAACCAACTTCATGAAGTCTGGCTGCCATCAAAAACCCACCCAGCCCTGGTGGGTCATACCTTTTCTGATGGGCAGTTCATTGTAGGGAGGCCTGTAAGCTCGCTCCAGGCCACCTGCTCAGGTGTGAAGACCCAGGATTCCGGCCTGTTCTAGTGGCCACTTGGGACACACAGAAGCTTCTCTGCCAGCCTCTCTCCTAGCCTGGAGCCGGCTGGTCCCAGGATGGAGACTGTGTCCTCCCCCCAGCCCTCCCCACCCCATGCCTGGCAGAGGCTGAGGCTGAGGCCGGGGCACAGTTGCTGTACAAAGGGTTCCTGCTTCACCCAGTGTCCACGAAGGTCCAGCTTTCCCCATCGCCTTTATGGTGAGCTCAGAGCCCAGGCCAGGAGCCCAGGGCTGCACCAGGAAGCCAGCAGCCTGGTAGCCAGAGCCAGCAACCCTGACTCGGGGAAGGGCAAAGTCAGCCCAGGGAGCCAGCGACGTCTGTGGGAGGACTGAGGTTCCAGAGCCTGACGCGCTGTTTCTTAGGTCTGAAAGAATAGAGTGACGAACGGGGTCCCCTCCTCAGAATTTTTTATTCCTGAACAAGGGAAGGAGGGCCGACAGGGGAGGGAGGAATGCTACTGTGTGGTGGACCCTCGGGGCCAGGGTAGGGCAGGGGGTGGTTGGGTCCCGGGTTGAGGTTCCAGCCTGGAGTCCAGGAGCTCCTGGTGCTGCTGGTAGATTCGTGCATCTACGTGGGAATGTGCGGTTCCCTGGGGAGTCGGTTCATCGCCTCTGTCAGCTTTTCCAAGGCCTCCATGCCCCCAAGTCTGGTAAGAACCTTCGCTGAAAGGCAAGTGAAGCCTGCAGCGTGGCTCACACCGGGAGGCCGTGCCTCTGGAGCCAGGGCTGCTGCCACTGTGCTGAGTCATCGGAGGCCAGCCACTTCCCACCTCTGGAGGGCCAGGCCCCGGGGGCAGCGAAGCCAGCTCTCCACACAGGCACGGTCCCTGCTGCCACACGAGCGTGGAGGTCCATGGTCAGGTGGCCAGGCAGCCAGGATGAGCTCTTCCCCAGCCACGACTCCCAACAGGTTCTGGGAGTCTTTCGCAGGGAACGGAACTGCCTCCGATTCTGGGCTCCACCGGTCCCCTCTGCTGTCCCTGCAGGGCACCTCCCGAGGCAGGTCTTAGGGCACGTGTCCTCTGCCAGGGTGCAGTTCCCAGGGTCTCCATCCTAGCTCCTGTGCCCAGATGCGCCTTGCACACTGTCCAGAGGTCCTGCCACTCCGCATCTGTTCACAGAGACAAAGAGAGCAGGGTCGGGGCTGAGGTCATGACACAGCCCTGCCCAGCCCCGCTCCGGGGGTAGGAGAGGGCAGGCAGCTGGGCCACCAGCACCGTCCACGGGCTCAGGGATCACTCATCCATTTACAAACAAGATGGCTTGGCTTCAGGACATTTTGGTAACTGGTCCCAGGCGCCCCAGGTCCCCGTTGAATCTCTTAAGTGCCAGACCACACTGCCATCGCCACCTGAGCGTGGCAGGCAGAGAGCCAGGGTGCCCAGAGGAGCCACAAAGCTCCAAGGAAGGGCAGATGGCAGAGCCAGGTCTCTAGCACCAAACGCCGCACTGGGCATGGAGCCCGGGCTCTGCGAGTGCAGGTCCTCTCCAAACCCCACTTCTTTCCTGCCAAACCGCCCTTGCGGATGCCATGTCCATACCACACGTGGATGCCCCTGCCCAGGCTCCTGCCACATGGTCGCGGGTCACATTCCTACATACTCGAAGCTCCATTTTCCTATGGTAAGAGCCTCTCTAAGGGTGGTGGAGTAGAGATGAAGGGTCTTGGGGCCCAGAACCCAAAATAGGGCCCAGGCTTGCACTGCTGTCCCACATCCGGGACAAGCTTGGACAAGCCTCAGTTTCCTCGTCTGCCAAATGGTCTCAGAGCACCGACTTGGACTCAGGGGCCCTGGGGCAAGTCCCGGCTCTGTCCTTTCTCACTGCATGACCTTGGCCACGCCCCTTAGCGGAGGGCCTCAAGTCCTCTGGCTCTGAGGAGCCCAAGACCTTCAAGGCTCCTGCTGTCCCACTTGGATCTGTGCTCACAGGGTCTCCAGTTCTTGAACTGCACATCTGAGGTCACTCTGCTCTTTTTGGTGCCCCCCCTCCCTGGCCACAGTCCTTTGCAGGGCAATTGGAGCCTCCACTATCGGCCCCCACCTCTGAGTCCTCCTTCAACACTGCTCTCCCTGGGGCACCTCTATTCATCACCAGGACCCAATTCAAACCAACAAATGGCCTTGGGTGACACCAGTCACCATCATCCCCCTCCCCCCACACCACCACCAGCACCACCAGCAGCACTTTACTGTCTGTCCCCTCTGCTGGCCCTCATCACGCTGTGTGAGCACCAGGTGTGGCACCTCGGGGGACGAGGCCTGTGTCTGTGCCTCCTCTGGAGAACCCAGCCCAGCCCAGCACGGTGCCCAGCACACGGGGGCATTCAAAAATGGTCCGGACCGGCGACATCACCCTCTCTTCTCTGGTCATGGCCATTACAACCCTCACAACAGCCCTCACTTTTAGCCCCAACTTACAGATGAGCAAACTGAGACATGAAGTGAATGACTTGGCAAGGACACCGGACAGTGCCGGGGCCAGGCGGCTGTGCCTGGGGGCTGTGGAGAGTGGCCCTCTCCAGGTTGCTTTCCACTCTGGCATTCTGGGAATGAAGATCTAGTAAGAAGCTGGTCACAGAGACCTCGGGGCAGCCCCGTGTGCCCCACCACCCCCCACCGTCCCCAGCGTACATCACTCCACCCCCCTCTCCCGCAAGCCTGAGAGGCCTCCGTTGGGTTTCTGACCTGCTGGGTGTAGACTGGGCAGCCTGCGGAGGAAAGTAGCGCCGGGATCGGCAGCAGCCCGAGACCTGATAGATGATCCCATGAGACACTAAGCGTGGTGGCGCTCACTCTCTAGACTCCATGCAGGCTCCTCTTTCTGTGTCCAGGGGGATCCGCCGCCCCGGGGCCACCCTCCAGGGGCTCAGGGACGCAGCTGGGGGGCAGGGACACCAGCGGGCGCTGGGGCCCGCGCGCCTCAGAGCACGCGGCCCTAATTGGAGCACGCCGCGCCCTCCAGGCCGTGGCCGTGGTTTGCGCTGGTGGGCCTTGAGTGAGCCCTCGCGCGCGAAGCTCTTTCCGCAGCGGGCGCAGAAGTAGGGCCGCCGCTCCCCGAAGACGCCGGGCCGGCGCGGGTGCGGGGCGGGCAGGCGCGCGTGGGTGCGCTGGTGGTTGAGCAGGAAGCGCGGCTCGCGGAAGCGGCGGCCCACTGCGCGCACTGGTGCGGCTTCTCGCCGCTGTGGATGCGCCGGTGCGTGAGCAGGTTTGCTTGAGGCTGAAGCGCGGCCGCACTCGGGGCAGGGGAAGGGCCGCTCGCCGGTGTGGGTGCGCTGGTGCACCTCCAGGTTGTGCTTGACGCTGAAGGCCTTGCCGCACTCGGGGCACACGAAGGCGGCCGCGCGGGCCCCGGCCCCGGCCCCGGCGTGCGCCTTCTGGTGCCGCACCAGGCTGGGCTGCTGCGAGAAGGTCCGGCCGCACAGGGGGCACGGTGCGCCTGCTCCTCCGTGGGGTGGTGGATGACCAGGCCTCGCTCGTCCCCCAGACCCTCTTCCCCGTCCCCCGCGGGGGACCCACCCCCCGGGGACGCCAACTCGGTCATGGGCACTTCCAGCTGTAATCACCGGCCCCTGGGGAGGCAGAAGCAGAGAGAGGAGTCAGGGGGGAGCCTCAGGAAGACCACTCCACTGTCCTCGCACAACGTGCAGCATCCGCCCCTTGGCAGTCTTGCGGAAGCCAGCGTGCCTCTGCTGCATGCCCTTCGTTCTCCTCTACCCCTTCGTCACATCCTGCCCCTCCTTGGGCCCTTCTGGAGTGCCACCTCCTCCTGGAAGCCTTCCAGGAGCTCCACGGCCCAACCTTCTGACCCTCACCCATCACCCTGCATACATGTCAGTCATGCCACCTTGTCTTCTCGCCTGTGAGCACCTTAAGGACAGAGCTGCCGCCTTTGACCCCGGCACCAAGCGCTGTGCCTGCCGTACAAGGCACTGAGCAAACCCTGACAGGTCAGATTCAGGGGCTCCTCGTACTTATTGCCGGTTGTCCTGCACCGCGATGTGTCTTCTCTCTCCAACCCGCTTCTCAAGGAGAGGGTCGGGAAGGGGCATCCCCAGTCTGGAGGGAAGGGTGGGGGGTGGGTTAAAGATATTTCTTGCAAAGCTTAAAAGAAGAAACAAAACAAAACCCCTGAAACGTGAAAGCAGCCTCGGTCAAACACTGAAGCAGCAGCCTTGTTTATAAAAATGAGGCTCGCCTGTAAGAGGTTTGTTTGCAAGTCACTGACCCAGAATGTGAGCTCCCAGGGCAGCTCTGCTTCATTCCTCTTGGCATCTCCACAGCAAAGCCGGGCCCAGGCTGCGCAGCCCTCAGTACTCTACAAGCACCCCCAAGCGCGGCTCCATCCACTCACGCTGGTCCTTCTAAGGATCCTCTCCCCCAGGGCACCGTGCTCCTCTTCAATTGTTTCCCATTGTACAGCCCTGAGGAAAGGGCAGGGCTCACTGAACCCCAATGTATAGATGGAGAAACTGCGGCCCAGAGAAGTCAGCGTACTTGCCCAAGGTCACACAGCAAGGTGAGCCAGGACTAGGCCCTCATTTCCTGACTCGCTGTTGAAAGCTCTTCTCAATGTGCTAGCTGCTCACCAACTAAATTCTCCTCAAAACGCACACATCGCAAGACCAACCCCATCATCCCAGCCACCACAGAGCCATGGATACCCAAAGGGCCACTGCTCCCATAGAGCCCTGTCTGCTGCCATCACCCCCGCGCCTCAGAAAACCCTTGGGCTCCTGCTTCTGCAAGCTCTGAGGCCTGCCTGCTCCAGAGCAGCTGACCTGGCCACTCCCCTGCCTTCCCCCACCCCCATGAGGGGAGCTTGCTGGCCCTTCCCCGGGACCTCCATGCAGGCCTTCCCCACACTTCAGATCCCACTGCTTACTGCAACCTCAGTGAGTCTGCAGAGTGGGGCTTCAAAGATACCCCTTCGGTCTCCCCGAACCCCCGGGCCAGGATGGCACACACCCTCACCCTGAAGAAGGGGACCAGTACTACTTGAAATAGACCCACCCCACCCACAAGTGTTCCCCCAGGCGGCTGCATTGACATGGCAAAGGCAGATCATCACAGTCCCCTTGGCCAGTCAGCCTGGCCTGGTCCCTGGGCAGCCTGCCCGCTTTCCTCAGTTATACCCCCAACCAAGACCCCGCCCGCTGAGAGGGTCCAAGGCCATGCCCCCCCCTTCTCCCCCAAGGTTCTCACCCCATCCCACACTCACAGCCCAGGCTGCGCCCCCGTTCCTCCCGTCTCCAGCAGTGCCTTTCCTCTAGTCCGCGCTGCCCAACGCAAATACGGTAACTCCCGCAGCGGCTCCCGCGCCCCTTCTCTCTCGCCTCCATAAAGATGGCCAGCTTCACGCACCGGGGTTCTTACCAAATAGCTGCATTAGTCAGAAGAGCTGACCCCACCCACCCGACCCCCACCCCCACCCGCACCCCCAGCACAACCCTGCCAACTCCTGGGGCCACAGTGATCCTGGAGAAATACGGTAAGCTCTGCGTCGCAACCCCACCCCTATGAAAATACGTAGGTCTCCCCCCACCCGCCACCCGCAACCCATCCGACCCCGCTGCAAGTACCCGCTCATTTAGGAATGAATGCAACCCACCCGCACCCCATCGCACGGGCTCCCTGGAATCACCCTGGATAAATACGCAATTAAGTCGCAGTGCTCCCCGGGCCCAGACAGGGCCTGCGCAGCCTCCCGGCAAATACACTAAGTGCTCACGCAGTGACTCAGCTTCTACGGATCCGGTCCGGACCGGCCCCGGTAAATACGGTAATCTCCGCGCGGCCGGCCGCCCGGGACTCACGTGGCGCCGCCTCCGAGCCTGCGTCCCCGCCGCGCAGGCAGCCGTCGCTGCCGCCGCACAGCAGCCCCGTGAGGCCGGGAGGTCTAACTCGCCAGCAGCCCGGCCGCGGACCAGGGAGGGCGGCGAGACCTGCGCCCGCCGCGGGGAGAGGGGCTGGGCTGGCGCGGGTTCCGGGCAGCGCACCCCCAGGCCCCAGGCCCCCCTGCCCCAGCCATTTCCCTTTCAGGATTCCTGAGACCCCAATGTAGCAGTTCGCGCCTCATCCGGAGGCCAGGCTACCCTCGCCAGGCCCACAAACCTACCCCAGAAGCTAGGAAAAGGGTCCGGGAAGCACATTTTTCCCTGCAGGAGAGAGAAGGGGGTGGGGGCGAATGCAGCCCTTGGCGGAGGCTGGGGGCGGGGTGGGGAGCTGGTGGGAGACAGCAGTGGGGGGCGCAGTTGACAGCTTCGCCAAAGCCTGTGCTCCTGTGTGCCCGGGTTATGCCGCTAGGATGAGGGGCGGGGGACTGGAAGAAGAAATTACACCCCTGTGGTCCCGTCCTCCTCAGAAGTGAACCCAAAGAAAACTCATAAAAGCAGGGGAAGCAGCTGGTGTGGACAGGGTTGGGCTGAATCCCAGTTTCCAACGGCCATTTCATCATAATACACCTTCCTTATACATGACTTGTCTCTTTACAGAGCGCTTTCCCATATATTATCCGTGGGAGCCTGCTAATAACCATGTGCCGTCCAGGTTATGCGGGTGTTATTATCCCATTTTATAGATGGGAACATAAAATCAAACTGAAGCAGAGTGGCTTCCCCACAGCTGAGGCCCACAGCTCCGTGGTAGATCTGTGGGAAGGCAGGCCCACCACCCAGAAACAGAAACCTGGTGTGATGACTGGGACCAGAAGTCACAATGCCGCCCAGAGGGAGGAAATGCCTCCGAATTTGCATGTCATAGATAAAGAAGCTGAGCCAGGAAGGGAACGTGACTTTTTTAAGCTAAAGGTTCTAGAGCAGCGGTTCTCAACCTGTGGGTCGCAACCCCTTTGGGGGTTGAACAACCCTTTCACAGGGGTCGCCTAAGACCATAGGAAAACACATATTGAATATATAATTACATATTGCTTTTGTGATTAATCACTATGCTTTAATTATGTTCAATTTGTAACAATGAAAATACATCCTGCATATCAGATATTTACATGACGATTCATAACAGTAGCAAAATTACAGTTATGAAGTAGCAACAAAAATAATTTTATGGTTGGGGGTCACCACAACATGAGGAACTGTATTAAGGGTCACGGCAGTAGGAAGGTTGAGAACCACTGTTCTAGAGGGACATCGACTCGCCTTTTTCTCCGTGGCCCCCCTGTAGCTGCCAGGTCCGGGAGCCGTTGGGATTCCGCAAGGCCAGGCAGTTGGGATTCCGGAAGGCAGGGCTCTTCACAGCAGACAAAGATGTGGCTGGCCAGGTGCCACTCTCCCAGCTCACGAGGTCCCCCTGTGCCTCTGAGAGCCCCGGGAACTGAAGGGTTCCAGGTGGGGCCCACCCAGCAGTAAAATCAATCCCTGCTCCCAGCATCACAGCTTGCTCCGTGGACTGTCTGTCCCTGAAGGTCCACCCGGGGCATTCTCCCCTCTCAAGGGCCTCATCCATGCTGCTCAGAGGCACCTGACTGGGGCAGATGGAACTTCGACATCCCAAGGAGATTGGTATTTCAAATAGAGGCAACAGGGAGAGAATTCTGGGAAACCCCAAGCAATGAATCCAGCAGGGAAGATGGCACCCAGGGCTAAGGGTAGAGTTCCCATGGCATTGACAACAGGATCCCTAACCACTGGTGACACCCCACACCCCCCTCTGCCTGGGTGCTGGAGCTCCCATCATAGGACAGCCACACCTCCCAGCTCCAGCTTTTGTTACCACTAGCTGTCATGTCTCTTGCAGGCTACAGTGGAAATGAGGACAGTTATAAATGACCAGGTTTTCAAAAGCAAAATCAATAATATACCTGAGGATGTAGCCCATCTTTTTAGCAGCATTTTCCAGGTAAGCTGTGCCAAAATGCGCAAGGAGCATAGCCTGGGGGGAGAGGGGAGCAGGCTGACAGACCACCTGAAACTCATCCTGTCTCAGTGGGAATGCCAAAGGCCGAGGGCTCCAGGAGGCCTCCTGTGTCTGCTCGGCCACTGCCTGATTTCCACTTTGTTTCTGTGGTTTCATACACATGCACCTCCTCCCACATCTCCCCTCCGCCCTTCTCGCGTGCTCTGCTGCACACAATAGAATTGCGGTGTGGAAGCATTCTACGGCAGCCATGCTCCTTCCTACAGGCAGGGCCGGTGGCCGCCGTAGCAATCACCACCACCCTGCAAGGCTCGTGTGACAGCTGGACTCTGGTCCCTAACAAAGGCCTGGGCTGCTCGCAGGTCCCAGAGAACAGATGGCCTGTGGTCCCCTTGTGGGTATTGGTGCCCTGCACTGTACCCCCCACCCTACCCGCAAGGGCACACCAGATGGACAGCCATCCGTGTGCTCCCCTGGACAGCTCCAGACCGCTGCTCTCACAGGTACCAGCCTGCCATCCTCCAGCTCCTGTTCTGCCTGCATCCCCAGGGCTTGCTCAGCTGGACAACCATCTCCCGTGACCAGCTCCCCCCATTTCCCTGGATTGGATGGTGATCCCTAACATCAGATTGGGATTCAGCACACTTTTGTTTGCCCACCAGGTTGTGAACTTCAAAGGGCACAGGCTGTGTTTTCAGCATCTTTGGGTCACAAGTGCCCAGCATACAATAGGTCCTCAATCCAATGTCTGTTGAATGAATGAATGAATGAATGAATGAATGAATGAATGAATGTTTACAAGCAACACCTGAGAGCTGTGGCGGCCAGCCAGGGCACTGATGCAGCGTAAGGAATGAGGAGCAGCAGGCAGAACTGCCCCAGTCACAGCTTTGGGCTGGGAAACCTGCAGAGATCCAGCTGCAAATGTGGGGCTCTGGGTGCGAGGTCACATCTGCTCCAAAGTTCTCTTCCCTCTAAACTAAAACCCAAGACGTGACCTATGACATCAATTCAGCCACACCCTTCAACTTGCAGCGGGTCTACTTACCCCGGGGATGGTTCATTCCTTATGGGGACTGAGCTCTGTTTGGAGAAACCCTTTCCACAGTACAATTCCCACTTCTGTAAATGCTGTGCAGGTAGCGATAATGACAATAATGTCACCACAGTAACGCCCATAGCTACCACTTATGGAGTACCTGCTGTGCTGGTCCATACATAATGCCTTTAGTAGGTTACTTGCCCAAGTCTCACAGCTTAAATGGCAAACCCAGAATCTAGTCCCGGGACTACCTGACACCATCCACTATTCCCAACGACAAAAGAAAGCTCTTTCTAGATTTGGGTGGGGGGAGGGGAGAGGGGGAGAGAACATTTCTACTTCTCAATAGGAGCATAATTCCTAGAACTATACTGTCTAGTAGCCACAGGTGGCTATTTGTATTTAAATTAATTTAAATAAAATTTAAAATTCACTTCCTCAGCCTCGATAGCCACATTTTTAAATTTTCTTTTTTATTGATTTGAAAAAGACAGAGAAAAAATGTTAATTTGTTGTTTCACTTGGTTGTGCATTCACTGGTTGATTCTTGCATGTGCCCTGACCAGAGATAGAACCCAAAACCTTGGTGTATCAGGACAATGCTCCAATCCACTGAGCTACCCAGCCAGGGCCTCACTAGCCACATGCTAAGTGATCAAGCACCACTGACTGAAGGCTCTGGCATCAGGCAGCAAACAGAGAACATTTTCATCATCCCAGAAAGTTCTGCTGGCCTAGGTGGCCTAGCTCCTCTCCCTCTAGATCTGAGTAACCTAGGAGAAACCTGTCTTACCCCAGGGGACACGCTACGGGACACCACGCATTTCCCTCTCTTCTATGCTGTGATCCTGTCAGGGCAGTGATATGTGAAAACATGCTGGTTTCCGCCCCAATACTATTCCTCTTAACAAAGGGTCTAGGTCCCTCTAGGATATTTCTTTTCCAAACCCAATTGCTTAAAAAAGAAAAAATCTCAGTAGCATCCCTCACGTACACTAGGTCCCTACTGGGCCCGCTCTCTCCCAGGTCAGTTCAGCTGCCCGCATCCGCCTTGGCCTCCAAGCCCTCTCTCCCAGGGGAAGCTCCCTGGGGCTGGGCAGTGGGACACCAAGTCCTGGCAAGGAGGTGACCACCTTACCGCTGACTTGAAGCTCACAGCGCTTGCCAGAGCACAACCACTTTCCAAGGACCTAAGTCAAATTTCTAGCTCCCGGCCTGCTCCTAAAGATGGAATACAAGGATTCTGCAGGCGGTTCTGGAGCCCAGCTCCACCACGCTCACATGGCCTGCTAGAAGCTTGGCCGCGGGTCCCCACCACAGACTTGCACTTACCTGGCCATGGACAGGATATGTTCTTTACGATCTTTATGTTTTAAACATGGTGGTTTTCTGTTCCCTTCAGCAACCCTTTGATCTCAGCGTTCTCCTGAGCATTTTGAATTATAAACCACTAGGATAGGCCTGACCTTCTTGTCTCTGATTTCATGGTGTGGCTCTTCCTAAATATTCTCTGACCTAGTGTTATTATTTCAAAATGAAAGGCCATGGAAATTGAAGTTGACAATGTCAGGCCTCCCTTGGAGAAGCCTGTGATTGTGACCGTGGAAGAGGGTTAGGTTAACTGGGGGCCGGGGACCTGCTGTCAATTTGCAACATGACCTGCTGGACAAGTCCCACAGTCCCCACCCCCCTTTCCTACAGCATTACCTGCCCAGGTCACTGCCTGGTGGTGAGACTAAAGGAGATGAACAAGAACGCCTCATAAGAGAGCCGGGGCTGGGACAACTTGTTCAAGAGCTGACCATATAGATGGTTCCAAATGGTGTGTGCATTACAGTGATATTCTGTGAAGGTCAGTGAGCTTCTCAAGGGGAGAGACTGTGATTGCTATTGACTGAATCATGTCTCTCCCCTCGCACCCCCCCAAAAAAATCCATATTTAAAGCCCTGACCCCCAATGTGATGGCATTTGGAGATAGGGCCTTTGGGAGACAGGTATGGATGAGGTCATGAGTGTGGGCTACTTGTGATGAGATTAGTGTCTCTATAAGACGAGGAAGAGACCTGAGCACTGTTGTGGGCCCTTCCTCCCTCCCCCACCACCCACCACCATATGAGGACACAGAGAAAAGGTCGTCATCTGCAAGGCAGGAAGTTCTCACCAGGGACCAAATCTGCCAGCACCTTGACCTTGAACTTTCCAGCCTCCAGACTGCGTTGGGTAAGCCCCCAGTGGTATTTTATTATGGCAGCCCAAGCTGACTGATACAGTGGCTTATGCATCACAGCATCCCTGAAGTCTGACACAGTGCCTGTCACACAGGAGGCTTGGTTAATGGGTCAATGTGTGCCATCCCCTGTCCTGGTCAACAGGTCATGCACCTTTGATGGGCTTGGCCCTATCCCCATTGTGACCCAAAGCACCCATTGGTGAGAGAATCCGTCACCTGGGGTCAGTGAGCAGGCATCCTCATGATTTTGCTTGGAGGGAAAAAGCTGTGATTAGGCCTCATTAAACCCAAGTCCTACCAATACAGCTGTTTGATTTGATCACTGAACACAGACAACTTGTGGAAGATAACAAGCTATGGTACAGAAATTCCCCTTCCTGTCTCTGCAGTATGTGTCTGCCCTGCCCCTCAGGCACCTGATTCCACGGGATCCAGTGTTTCTGCAGGTCCGTCCTTGCAGACAGTGGCTCTCTAGGCATGGTATTCTAGGATGCCTTTCTGGAGTAGGTGGGCTCACTTGAGTTGGTCTCCGGATTTGATAAGTGGCAAAGAGGAAGAAGCAAAGGACTCTTGAGCCTTCCCCATGGTTAAGGTAGGTTTTGGGTTGTTGTTTTAGTTTTTTTTTATTGATTTCAGAGAGGAAGGGAGAGAGAGAAACATCAATGATGAGAATCATGGATTGACTGCCTCCTGCACACCCCCTGCTGGGGATTAAACCTGCAACCCAGGCATGTGTCCTGCCCAACACATGTGAACTACTGCTTCATAGGTCAATGCTCAATCACTGAGCCACACTGGCCAGGCTAAAGTGGGTTTTGATGAGATCCAAACCTACTGTCTGGGGGAGGAGCCAGGCAGGCATTACAGGGAGAAAGGGGAGCACTTAGGGCTCGTGTGGGTCAGAGAGGGAGCCTAGGAAAACCCTTCTGATTTGGCTTCTGCCTGGTCCTGAGAGTTGATTGAAGGATGGGCATACCTTGCATGGTCGTGAGATTTCACACTGCATGGTTTATGATCAAAGACCTGGACCACGAGTCAGAGCCCTGGCTGAACACTAACCATTACCAGCACTGTGTTCCCCAGGTAAGATGAGTCATCACCTCCACAGGTCTTTCTGTGATGCTACAATTAGAACTCCTGCCAGATGAAAGGGATTAAACAAAACCTGGGAAGAGGGGTAACCAGAAGCCAGGGTGAACACAGCCAGGTCCTGGAAAAGGAAACACATCTGTGAGTTCAGAGAACCCCACAAGCCCTGGGAGGCAGGTACACATAGTTCATCCTCCTACAGAATTAGCTAGGTCCCCTCTTTTTCCTCCCACTTATCCAACCCTAGCACCCCAACACCCACCCCTCTCTACAATTCCCTCCCCTCCTGTGGGAAAACATAGTCCAAGCTACAGCTGGGCTGGAGCCCTGGGTTCGGCTTTGGGAAAGCATGAGGAGTGACTCTTGGGGGCCGCAGGATGAGGGGAATATGTGGAAAGAGATGAACTGTATTGGAAGAGGGAAAGAGAATTGGGTGTGGGCAGTTGCTCTGCTCGTGGCTTACCCTGGTCCTGGGGCAAATGGTCCCTCAGAGCACACAGAGACCTGGAGATCAGAGATCGGAGATCAGGAAGGGAAGCTTAAGAAAGACAATGAGACCATGTGAGATGGTCAAGCCTTCATGTTCCTCTTCTGTAACGCTGCCATGATAAGGAGCCAAGCCAGTCATCCGCATGCCCCAGGCCCACGGAGTAGGAGCAGCAGGTTTGGCTCTTTCCTGCTGCAGGACCTTCCCAAGCCACCAAACCTCAGCTGAGACCACACCCCTTGTGCCCCAGCCCCTGACCGTCTCCCACATTCCCGTCCTAGGGACAGGCGGGCCATAACAGCACCCTCGCAGTGGGGCACTCACAGAACCACTCACTCCTTCCAAAACTATGTGTTGAATGGCCATGAAGTGCCGGGCGCCCCTCCCTCGCCTGCGTGTGACCAGTCCAGACCTGGGCCATTTCACACCAGGGAGCCTCTCCCTCAGCCCCCAACAGGCCCCCACCTGGTGCCTGAGGGCTGGGGTCCCACCTCTGAGGAAGTTTACGGGGTTGGCCCCCAACCTGTCAGGGACACATCCCAGCTCCAGGGTGAGGAATGCCTGATCCCCCCTCCTCCCTCAGCCTACGGGGACCTTTTTGCGGTCTCCCTTTGGGATGGATGCTTCTGGAATTCTGTTCTCAGGCCTTCAGAGCCTTGTGATAGGGTCTTACCCCCTGGGGTGCTAAAAGCCACCATTCTGGCCATTCCCCACCGGCACCCCCGCAAACACCCCCCGCGGGTCCCCTTGGGTCCAGGTGCACTAAAGCGCTTCGACCTTGACGCTGGGGGTGGGCGACAGGGTCTCCAGGTGCACGCGCTGGTGCTTGAGCAGGTGCTGCTTCTGGCGGAAGCGGCGCCCGCAGGCGGCGCACCGGAAGGGCCGCTCGCCCGTGTGGTTGCGCCGGTGCCGTGTCAGGTTGGGCTTCTGGCTGAAGCGGCGGCCGCACTCGGGGCACGGGTAGGGCCGCTCGCCCGTGTGGATGCGCCGGTGGACGGTGAGCGCCGACCACCACGCGAAGCTCTTGCCGCACTCGCTGCAGATGAA